TTAAAATAGAACCATACAAGAGGACCAATTGCTAAAGCAGCCTATGATATATACTTACTCTAATCTATCTATTAATTAACTAATGGAGCATAACCAAAAAAAAAAAAAAAAAAAACCCAGAGCGAAGGATATTATAAGTAACCCATGCGTGGGCGCTGTTCCTCTCCCACGCGCTTATTCTTGGGGGGGTCAGTTGAGCCCGACATCAGCATCATTGCTTCCGTGAATCACTGATTTGGGCATCTTAATTTTCATTAACTTAACGAACCTAGTACCCTTTCGCTTGTGGATGCTAGCTTTGTATTAATTGTATAAGCTTTAACACATGAGTAAGTAAGTAAGTAAGCATCATTTTTCCCACGTCCCTCCCTTAATTAAGCACAGTGTCTGGGGACTTTGTGGCTTCTTCTGCCTGATATATAACTGGATGGTAGATTAGCATGAAAATATAATTAGATGACTCTACTCATGGACGGTACCCTCCCTCTTAACTAAAGGTAATGATCGATGCTTTACATCATGTTTTATTATTCAGTTGCTAAGCAAGAAGGACATTTCCACCTTGATTACTACTTTCTTTCTCTGTCTTCCCTTTCTTCTCCCTCTTTCTTGAGCAATGACTCGTACCGTGAAATTGATCACTGGGTATTTATCTACTCCAATTGCCTTTCTAACTTATAAAATGTGTTTGTTAAATATTAGGTCAGCGCCCATTAAAGCATGCATGTCTGAAATATAATGGCACAAACGTCCGAGCAGATGTCTGCGCTCTTTGATGAATATTTAAATTGAGGTGGAAATTAAATAGAGATGCTTGATCACGCACAGGCCTGAGTACGTATTTCCATACAGAAACAGGCGTCAGACCTAACTATTTTCAACTCATATATATGTTCATATCTGACATCGGTTCGTACAATTTAGTTAGCTCTTAACACAAAAAATGGCATGGTTCTTCAACCTAACTAACTAATTCCACTGCATGCATGAAAGCACACCCCATCGACCATTTCATGAACTTGACTAACATGCATACTTGTACGTACATGGGATCGTCGCCTGCTTGATATATATCTCGCTAGCTTGAAGTTCATCAAAACAGGATACACCTGGGGGGCATACAGCTAGGCATAAGTAAAAGGGAGAAAAAACACCCTGTGAATTATATAATGATATCACTTATGCGCCAGAAATTCACGTGGCAAGTGAGACACAACTGTTAAGTTGATGAGACTAAATTCTACGGGTGGTTGCTGGCGGTTGCTTTCCGTGTCGCCCACTGAGGGCGCATCTGTCTCTATTAACGTATTTGCTCCATGCTTTTTACTATTTCTTCCCTCTACCTACATCTGTGGGCCCCCCTCCCCCCCTAACGCCAAACCTAATTAAGCTGCAATTGTCACCCGTGCCAGCAACTACATTACACAGTAATGATCATCCCATCGGCCTGCTCCACGAATTAGTTTGGTATAATAACCACCATACGTACTTTTCAACAAGTAATTAAGGTAATTACTTACTTACATGGTGATGATATGATCGATGAGTAGTGCACATCGCTAGATTGAGTCGAGGGGATTTGCCGAATTACCTTATGGCGTTGGGACCCAAGCTATCATTCTGCCTTGTCTTATTGGACAGAATGAAAGCTGTCAAAGCCTGGAATCAAGATTTTGCACCTGACCTGATCAGTTGCCACTAAATTATGGGCATTTGGTTCCTCTATCAGACTCAGACTCAGGGTCAGGGTCAGACCCAAGGCCAGGTTGCAACACCCACATGAGCATATATGGGACAGCTATTTGCAGCTTGATACATGTCATGAGTACATATGTCGTTTCTCTATCACAACAGCACATTGATATAACAGCTAGCACCTCAGCTCCTCCTCCTCTTCAGCGTCCGAGCGTGTGAACTTCACTGTCATCGAGGGACCCCTCTTCTTAATTTCACTCTTCGTCTTTGATTTCTGGGAAGAAAGACAAAAAGTTCTAGAATGCACTTTATATAGGCAATCGTAATAAATCACCAAATGTCATTTATCAGTTCCTGCAAACAGACTCTTGTTAGTTGTTACTGGCATTCTTCAGTTCTTGGAAAAATTACAATTTATGATTGATTGGCTCACGAGTATTTTCCTCAAGAAATACTCATGCATGAGTCGACTTACGTTCTGCCCTCCAGTTGCTAGTTTCGTCTCGGTCAAGTCGACTTATGGACACTGTTAAGTCGACTTACGTTCTGCTCTCCAGTTGTTGTTTTGCGCTCAGTCAAGTCGTCTTATGCCGACTGTTAAGTCGACTTATGGTAAGTCGACTTGTTCCCTCTGATAAGTCGACGTACGGCGGTTTTCATGCTGAGTTTTGGTTTCCTGTTTGGATTCTGTTTGGGTTTGATATAAATAGGAATATGTTGACTCCTAGGGTTTATACAAGGACTTTTTTGAGCAGCTTTTGAGAGAGTATTGTGCACTCTTTGTGGGAGGATTAGTGAGAGATCTAGAGAGATTTGTTTAAGGGTTTATTGGTGAGTTTTGTAACCCTATTTGTATTCTCTTGATTTTTAATAGTAAGAACTCCCCCTCCTTACCCCGTGGATGTAGGCATCTTGCCGAACCACGTAAAATTTATTTGTTCTTGCTGTGGTTGTGATTTGTGCTTGTATTGGTTGTGATCTATTTTGTTCTTGTTCGTGCACTATTTGTCTTTCGAGCACCCGCTGTGCACAGCAGAAACAAACATTTCAAGGATTTGAAAGACAAATGATCTAACCTAGCACGCCAGAGCATAATTTATTTGAGCACAGGCTCATTATTGACAACTAATTAACTTGAAGGTTGATTCGATGGTGAGGTTTTTTGATCCAGAAGGTACGAGCCATTCACTTCATATGCACTCCCAACCGTTTGTCTCGTCTGCAAATCCTAAAAGATACATTTCAAAGGGAAAAAGGTATTGAGCAATTTAAAGTCTTTGTAAGACTACTCATAGATAATAAATTTGTAGATAGCTTTAGAACATAAAGAGCAAAATTTAGAGCAAGGCTATCTAGTTTTATTGTCGCCTTTTCTGAAGTATTTGAAAAAGAACCGTTAGCTATTCTAACATTTTCTTGACATGAACTTAGTTTATATGAAGAGAAAAAATGAGATGAGCTAGTCATATAATCGGTGACTCCTGAATCAATGATCCAAGGAGAATTAGAGGAACATGATGTATGATAGGGATTACCATAGCGTGCAATAGCATTAGAAGCAAACGGGGTAGAGGCATTCTCATTCTTTTGGAGATATATGCGCATGACTTTAACATCAGTTGCAGAAAAATTTTCAGAGATAGATAGAGCAGGGAATCTTGCAGGAGGTCCAGCACCAGTGGCTTGAACTGATTTTCCTTTTGGTTCAAAGTACTTGAGAGCAGTTGGCATCAGATAAGGAAAATTTTCCCAACACTTTGCTTCGATCAATATGTTCAATCTTCTTACAGCGAGTGCATTCTGGGAGAGACCTTCCATCTCGACTAGTACTCTTTGGACATCGCCCAACTTTGGACGTGATGGTCGATGTTAATTGTTCTAAAGTTTCTTACTCGTCTAATTCTAAGGGCACATTCATCTCTCTCTTCTGCTCTTCTTCGTTTTGCATGGCTTCATACACTTGATCCGGAGACGGGAGTTGCGAGTCCAATACTCAAGCCTTCTATGCTTCATAAGAGGAATTCAATCTAGCTAGAAATTCGAAGGTCCTCTCTTCTTCAATTTAGATCTAGAGCTCCGGGATTTGATAATGATCAAGGTTCTTCCCAGAGGCCCTGCAAGGTGGCGTAATATATTGCCATTGACACCTTCCCTGTCGCAGATTGTGGATCTCTTGTTTCAGGCATAATATATTGCCATTGCTGGATTTGATACATGCAACATTCGTCTTTTGAGAGTGTGTGTTGGCTAACTTTGACCAGATATCATGAGCCGTGACAAGAAAACATACAGGCTTACGAGTCTAATAAGGTGTCATGGAGGACAGGAGAGAAGCCAAGACATTACAAGTGAATTCTCTTGATTCCACTTCTCATAGGTAACATCAGCCTTTGCGAGTTCCTTTGTCTTTCCCATTAAATACCTCTTCTTTCCACAACTACTGGTAAAGAGAAACTATCAAAACATACCCAGTTTAGAGGTAACAAACTATCAAAATAGAAACAAATAGACTTCAACTGATATGATGATAAGTTCAAGTCGCACTCTGAGATCTTCTACAATGACCTCGCAACAAAACAAACACCTTTAATCAGAACGATATCAGACGTACTATAAATTGCAATTGCTAGTTCATTGCATCCCACTTGATCGGGTCAAAGTGCAAACCATAAAACTTCACAATCTTATGCCTTTCAGCCCATGCAAGCAAAATGTTGTAACACAAGTTTATTCATAAACCATGATGTGATCCAGAAAGGTAAAGACTCGTAAGTCAAATAAGCCATCTACATATACACAAATAACATATATACTCCTTATTTTATTCATGATATTCTATAACTATAGTGCAGCTTACATCAGAGCATTCATTTATTAGTGATCTCATGCTAACCTCCTGCGGATGCAAATTATCAAACGGCACATGAAATCAGTAAAAACCATTAGAATGGTTTTGTTTTCACTACTAGTGTATCACAGTGACACTTTGTAGACAAAATAATTGAATTACTGAAGACAGAAAAACATTACTTGTCGAAGAAGATAAATATATGTCAAACTAAGTGTTATTCTCTGAGTAGCACCTCTAGATTTGATTATTTTAAGCATCGCAGTGGAACCTACAGCAACTAAATTCACCCAGGCAAACAAAAAATGACATCCAAATACCAAGGACAGCTAACCGAAAAAATTTAACAAGGGGTAATACCAAAAAAAAAAGAACATGCCAGTTCTGATAGGAGGGGATGAATTTTTAACTTTTCCTATTCACCGAGAAGCTTAGTTATAATGCGGCAACCTGCAGACAATTCTGAAATATCTTCTATCTCACTCTCTAGTAACAAAATATAACAAGTACCATTGATAAGATTAAGACACGTTTGTCGATGCCAGTAATCAAGGATACAAATATAGAAGATTTGAGAAATGTTATCTGGTCTAAACTTAAGCTTTATACAGTAGAGGGTATAGGACCTCAACGGAACTGATAGCCATGACCCTTATAAAAGTCAAAACTGGGTTTTGGTTATTGAACCTTGAAGCACTTTGACAAAACAAATAGCCATGACCCAGATGATGGACAAAATCGGGTTTTGTGGCTCCCGGTCTTCTTCATCTACAAGCGGTCTAACCAACTTGAGATACTGTCTTGAGAACCAAATTGTAGATCCTGCATCACAAAGGAAAAACAGATTTAACACTGCTATCCAACTCATCACACAGGAGAAGAAAAATGAAAAACAGTTGGATTCATTTCACAACTCATAAGAGTATCTTACCGCAAGTTGAAAATCTGGGGGTGTGTCGATAATTATGTTATCAAGATCAGAGAACAGCGGAGCTGTTTTAGCATTCCTATTGAGCATGTCATTCCTTCCATGGTCTAAATCAGGATTAGCTAGACCAAAACTATCGAGTACTTCATGGCATAGTAGCGACTCATCTATGGCAGTTGGATCAAATTCTTCAACAGCTTGAGATTCTCCTGCCAACCACAAAGAGTTGACGCCATTATCCATTTGTTGAGTAACTGATGGTGGTACCTCACATTCCAGATGCAATTCCTTCTGAAAAAAAGGAGAATAAAAGTAAAATCAGTAGTCAATTTATTTTAAAATAAACTCTAAATAAGATATTGAAGTGCGTTAAAGACCTGTGCATTATATTCATGAGTTTCAGATAAAGGGGACGCATTATATTCATGAGTTTCGGATAAAGGGGACAGCTTCTCTGCACGGCGTAGCTCCGGTGTAACTGTTTTTGGGGTTGTTGGACAAGTCCCAACACTAACATCTGAATCCTGGACCTTTTCAGCATCACCTTCTGTTAGCTTAGTATTTTGTTGGTAGAATATTTTTGAAACTACCAGCTCCCCATCTTTTTCATCTTCATCAATGCCAAGATGGTACTGGTGCATCACCCAGTTAGCTTTATCCGGCTTACAACCCTTCTTCAAACTCCTGTAAAGCACCATTATCTTCTTCCAACCTTTTGGGACACCATTCTCCATCACAGGCTTAGTTTTACCAGTCTTATGCCATCTCACTCTCTCCTCAGAGGTGCTGTTGCATTCGCCTATTTTTCGGCGTTTACGGTGGCCAGTAGCATAAGCATTCGATATTCTGTGGAAGAAGTGAATGCTGCTTCCATCTTTCTTAACACCTAATCCGAAAAAGAAAATTCAGAAATGAGGTGACGTAATGTTAAAGGAGAAATGTAGCCTTTGCAAGAATGTCTTTACCAGGAAGGTTTTCAGGATGTGTATAGCATATTCCTCGAGCATCCTCAACGGTGGGAATAAATTCATCAATGAACATGTGAGCCTTAGCTAGCCCGGTCTTCCCTGCTAAATGTTCCAGAAGCTCAATATCTGTTGGATCAAACTTCACACCAGCAGGAAGACCTGGCCACTCCAAAGAAACCTGCAAAGTGAATCCAAACGCACGTCATTTTCCTTAGCCAGAAGGATTGTATTTATTCTCTTATTGATCGGTCAAAAAAATATTAACACTTGTAGAAATCTTATATTAACAATCATGGAAATTTCCCCCAAAAAAAATCATAGAGCAAGCATTGAGATGAAAATTGTTAAATGTGACTTGCCATTTCTGATAAAACTTCATAAAGTATTCTTCAAGATGTTTGCAATTGAGAAAACGAGCGCAGCACATAAATATGCAGTCATGTGACATGTCAAGTGCATGTTTGCCAAAGAATTTAAATTTCAGATTCGAATTGTTAGAATCAGTAAAAGCACATATATACTTCTATCATGAAGCTGTATCCTGTTGAAGAATGTACTGGTGGTTAGATCAGAAACAGTTGTCATGTGTACTTTTTTAGAATTTGCCCAGTGCCGGTTTGCTCATGTTGCTCGTTTCCGTCAACATAGGAGAAAACCTTTCAGATCACTTATAGTGAAAACTCTCTATACATACTCTGCATGGATGTTGTGAGACATCTATCAAACCATGAAAAATCCTCTTAGGCTTTGATGGTGTAATGTTCACTTTGCAGTTCGCTATCTAATACAGTAATCTTGTTTTACTGATTATCAGCAACGATCATTCTATTTTAGCTTCCACTGAATAAATCTATGTTAACAGGACACCAAACTTGTTTGTCATTTGCAGCATTGTACCAAACATTGAACATTAACTTCAGTATAAGACATAGGCTTCATGTACAATTCTCCAAAAGTTAAACCCATCAGGGGTCCAACTGATACAATTGATGCAATCTGCAGCTATGAAGTCCCATAACAGCACATGGCAGTTAAAGAAATACACTAAAAGGTTCACATTCTTGAAATTCAACTTCAAATACCTATAAGAGGATAAAATTATAGAAAACTCTAGACACTAGGCTTTGAAGTACAAACATGGAAAAAGACAATGGGATGTCGAAAAGGATATACACACATGAATAGCATGCACGCAAGTACACACACATACACATGTATGTTTATTGACAGTATCATGATACCGTTTCATTTAAACTTCAATAGGAGCAATTATTATACTAGTTAAACAAAAAATCATATGAGTCATAAACATATATGTCTCAGTAGCGAAGACAAGCTACAGTACTTAAAACAGTAAGAAATTGTTAAGGAAGTCGGTGGAAAGGACAGAAATAGACACTGACAGAAACATGTGCAGAAGAGTTTAATAGTTGACCAATGAAAATGATCACCAATTAAGTACATTATGTCTGACTATATGAAACTTAAAACTATACCATCTGCATTTAATAGACACTTGAAATTAAATCTGCGCTTCTGGCCAGTAAATATTAGGGAGTAATCAGGTCTAACTTAGATTTAATGGGCCTTAATAGAGGCTTGGAACCAAATTTAATCCAAAAGATTAAGCACCTAGGTACTGGTCTCAACTCGTATTTAAACTCGTCACTCCCTGCCATTTTTCAGTGTAGGACTACATAGCTCACACATGAATATCCCTACAGAGTCCTTTTTATTTATGAGTATAGATCAATCTTCCATGGGATTCACTAACTTGGACTAAGTTGGTAAGAATGGGAGGCAACATGGCGTAGGATCTTCCATTACTTGTGGGATAACCAGACTATATCACTCCTACGGGCATTCGTATGTTAACCTGACACCTTCGTACTTCACATTGAACTTCAACTTTTTCACTTGAGTCATAACCGTAACTCTAATACCAGTTGTTGCGGAGTAATTGTCAGCAACCTAACTTCATTGAAAGCGACATTATGAAGATTTGGCACCGATTATTAGGCGGGTTTTGAAAAAATTAAAAGTTGCAGGTCTCACCATAATAAAATAATATAAAATTAGTGCATAGTATTTTCCCAAACACTATAAATAGGCTATTGACATATTAATAATATGTAAAGGGGCTTATTTGTAAGTCATGTTTGTAGGGGCCTATATAAGCCCAAGCTATCTCAGCAATATGATTAGGGTTTTCACTATTTTCTTCATAGGCCTAAAATTCTTCAAAAAAAATTCATCCCAGAAACAACTCCTCATATAGAAGAGAGAAAAAATAAAGAGAGTTTTTCCTTATAAAGAGAGATTGTAACTTCAAAGTTTCTCCTTATAGTGGATTCTTCTATTCTTGCCAGTGGCTTTTACCCCAAATTTATTTAGAGAGTTTTCCACGTAAATCTGTGCGTTCATCTTTTTTATTATTTTCACTCTACTATTGCTGTGACCTTGTTCTGTTGGACCCCGGGTTTGTCCCAACAAATTGTATCAAAGTCTGGCTTAGGATGAGTGTATCTACTTACCGTATACTCTGCGGCTGCCACAAAAGATGAATCCTCCACATCAGAAAATAAGTTAGATTATCATTTATCCTTTAAAGGCGATAGTTACTATTCACGAGTATGACACTATTCATAAATACGATACTATTCACAAGTACGATACTATTCATAGATACAGTTACTATTCATAAATACACTTACTATTTACGTAAAATAGTAAGAAGTAATTGTTCGTGGTAGAAGCAATGGAGGCAAAGTTCGAGATCAAGAAATTCAAACCGGAGTAAATTCTCTCTGTGAAAGTTAAAGATAAAGGCTATCTTGAGAAAAGATAATTATCTAGCGGCTATCGATTCAAGAAAGGATGACATTACAGATGATAAGAAGTGGAATGAGATGGACGAAAATGCTATTACAAATCTCCATCTGACATTAGCAGACGGGATGCTATCAAGCATAGAGAAAAAGATAACAAATGAGATCTAGGATACTCTAACAAAGTTATATGAGGCAAAATCCTAGTACAACGGAATCTTATCGACGACCGACCACATCAACACCCTAAACACACTGTTCTCCCAACTCACAACGTTAGGGCATACAATCAGTGTGAATGAACGTGCAGAACTTCTACTTCAGAGTCTACTTGACTCGTATGATCAACTCATCATCAACCTAACAAACGTCCTTACGGACAATCTAGTCTTCAATGACATTGAAACCACTGTTCTGGAGGAAGAAAATCGGTGCAAGAACAAGAAAGACAAGCATGCAAGTTCGTAACAAGCGGAGACCTTAACGGTGACGAGAGGAAGATCAACGGAACGTGACTCCAGTGAGAGTCATACCCATAGTAGATCAAAATCACGAAGTAAAAAGGATATCAAATGCTACAACTGCAGCAAAAAAGAGCACGTCAAATCAGAATGTTTGCACAATAAGAAGAGTGGTGATAAAAAATCTTCAGAGCCATCAATATCTTAATGATGCGTTGTCAGCACATCAGACGATAATGAAATTTCATACAGTGGAGCAACCACTGTTGATGAAGACAGAAAGAGATTTGTTGATGTCTGACTTCTGGATTCAACAGCCTCCTGGTACATGACCTCCCGGAGAAAATGATTTCTCAAATATGAACCTATCTCAGGAGGATCAGTATTCATGGGGAATGATCATGCCTTGGAGATTTTTAGTATTGGCACTATTAAAATCAAAATGTTTTATAGTACAATACTCACCATTCAAGATGTACGACATGTGAAGGGTCTGAAAAAAAATCTATTATCTTTAGGATAATTAGATGAGCTCGGGTGCAAGACCCATATAGCAAACGAGATCATGAAGATTGTTAGAGGGGCGCTTGTTATGATAAAAGGAGAAAAGATAACTGCAAAACTATACATGCTCAAGGGAGAGACTCTGCAGAAAACTGATTCATGTGTGGCATCAACCAGCCATGGAAAAAAACAAACCATGATGTGACATTACAAACTAGGCCACATGTCAGAACGGGCTTGAAGATTCCCTACGATCAGAAGTTGTTTCCTGAACTTAATTCGGTAGCTCTTCCCTTCTGCGAGCGTTGTGTTACAAATAAGCAACATCGACTGAAGTTCAGCACATCGAGTTCTAGAAGCAATGTTATTCTGGAACTGGTTCATTCTGATATATGGTAAGTACTGATTACATTCTTAGGATGAGCAAAATATTTTGTATCATTTATTAAGGATTATTTCAGAAGATGTTGGGTGTATCCTATCAAGAAGAATGTGGATGTATTCTCAGTTTTTAAAGCCTACAAAGCACGGGTCGAACTTAAATCTGAAAAGAAGATCAAATATTTAAGGTCAGATAATCGAGGAGAATACACAGACGATGATTTTTTTACATTATGCAAGCAAGAAGGCATCAAAAGACAAATCAGAACTACTTATACTCCTCAACAAAATGGAGTGGTGGAGCGGATGAATAGAACTTTGTTGGAAAGAACAAAAGTTATGTTAATAACTGCAAATCTGGATAAAGTCTTTTAAACGGAAGCAATAAAAACCGACTATTATGTGGTCAATCGATCTTCATCAACTACAATACAGTTAAAGACGTCGATGGAGATGTGGATCGGCAAGCCAGTTGATTACTCTAACCTCCATATATTTGGAAGTCCGATGTATGTAATGTACAATGCCTAAGAAATTACAAAGCTTGATTTAAAATCCAGAAAATACATATTCTTAGGGTATGCTGATAGAGTAAAAGGGTATCGCTTGTGGGATCCCACTGACCGTAAGGTTATCGTCAACAGAGATGTTATCTTTGTAGAGAACCAACTGCAAAGTGAAGAAAAAAAACAGTTCAAGGAAGGACTCAAAGACTGTAGCTGTTCAGGTAGAAAATGATAAAAATTCTTCTGAAGCAACACCCGAACATGATGTACAAGAACCAGTCGAGTCCGAGGCTCCAAAAGTTTGACGATCAACTCGTGAAAGAAGACCACCGACTTGACACTCGGAGTATATTATGGACTTAATTCAGATCATTATGCATATTTTAAGAGGTTTGGTGAAAATAACTTTGTTATCTTATTATTGTATATTGACGATATGTTGGTTGCAGGCCCCAACAAAGATCGTATCAAAAAATTAAAGGCTCAGTTGGCTAGGGAATTTGAAATGAATGATTTAGGAATTGCAAACAAGATTCTAGTGATGCAAATTTACCGAGACAGAATTAATAGGAAGATTTGACTTTCTCAGAAGAATTATTTAAAAAAAATTACGGTGCTTTAACATGCAAGATTGTAAGTTAATTTCTACCCCACTTCCTGTTAATTTTAAAATATCATCCAGTATGAGTCCTAACATTGAAGAAGAGAGGATGGAGATGTCTCGAGCACCGTATGCATCTACAGTGGGAAGTTTAATATTTGCTATGATATGTAGAAGACCAGACATTACACAAACAGTAGGAGTGGTTAGATTTTAAAACTGCAATCAGTTGTGGTTACTTCAACAACAGAAACAGAATGGAGTGGTTAGTCGATACATGACGAATCTTGGTAAAGAACATTGAAATGCTGTAAAGAGGGTCTTAAGATACGTTAAGGCAACCTCAAATATTACATTATGTTATGGGGGATCTGACTTTATTATCAATGGATATATTGATTCTGATTATGCAGATGATCGTAATAATAGCAAATCCACCACAAGTTATGTGTTTTTATGTTGACAAAGCTGTAAACTGAATTTTAAAACTGCAATCAGTTGTGGTTACTTCAACAACAGAAACAGAATATGTAGCAGCTACACAGGCTAGTAAAGAGGCGATGTAGTTGAAGATAGTGTTGGAGGAACTCGGTCATGAACAAAAAAAGATTTCTCTATTTTGTGACAGTTAGAGTGCTTTGTATTTAGCAAGAAATCCAGTCTTTCATTCAAAGACAAAACACATTTGAGTTCAGTACAATTTCGTTCGTGAGACAGTAAAAAAAGGAACAATGGATATACATAAAATTCACACCAAAGACAACTTAGCAGATTTTTGACAAAAGCAACCAATACTGATAAATTTATTTGGTGTTGATCCTCTTGTGGTCTGTCGGAGACATGAGCAACATGAAGATGGCAATAAAAAAATAGTGTGAAGATATGATTAACACTCAATTAAATCTTTAAGTGGGAGATTGTCAGCAGCCTAACTTTATTGATAGCGACATTATGAAGGTTTGGCACCGATTATTAGGTGAGTTTTGAAAAAATTAAAAGTTGCGGGTCCAACCACAGAAAAAATAATATAAAATTAATGCATTGTGTTTTCCCAAACACTATAAATAGACCTAAAACTCTTCAAGAAAAATTCATCCCAGTAACCTATGATGCACGGATACGGATACGGGACACGGATACGACACGGACACGGATACGGGATACGGCAAAATCCAAAAAAATAGGATACGGGGATACGGCGAGGATTTTTTTTAATTATTATTATATATAGAAAAATTTATAAAATTCAAATAACAATCTAAATTATGAATCTATCACAAAATAACAAGTTTGTAAACAAAAAGGAATTTGAGACATACTCATTCCATCACAAAATAACAAGTTTGTAAACAAAAAGGAATTTGAGTTCATACTCATTCCATCAAATCACAACATAACAAGTTTCACAACATAACAATTTTGTAAACAAAAAATACATCAAGATTAAGTGGAAGCTAGTTTGATGATTTCTTCTTACAGATTTAATAAGTTGTTGCTCACTGACTTTGTTTTTCTTTTTACAGATTATACTTAGAGTTAAGCAACAATGAGCAAGGATGAAGGATCACTCAAAATTTTCCAACACAACTGCCAAAATATGCATATTCATTTGTGTAATAATTCATTTGTGTTGACTAACAAAATTATACTAATTAATAAGTTCTCCTTTTAATAGATAATACTAACAATTAAAAAAATATTCATATGTTAGGAAATTGAGACTGAAATTGAAACTAAAATTGAAAAAAATAAATTACCAAATAAAGAATAGGATTGTAGTAGAACTGTGACTTGCTCAGTTGCCAAAATAAGTATCACCAAGCTGCATAAAAAAAAGTTAGTTTTTTCAAAAAAAAAAAAGATAAGAGAGACTGAGAGGGACGGAGAGATTGAGAGAGAGAATAAGGAAGAGGAGCGACTCGGGAGAGATCAACAGAAAAGAGAGAGACTTTTTCTTGAGGACTAAGAGAGACCAACAGAAAAGAGAGAGACTGAGAGAGAGTGACTCGGGAGAGATCAAGGAAGAGGAGACTGACCTGGTCGAGCGCCGGTGTCGAGGTCGAGGTCGAGCGTGGGGCGTCAAAGTCGAGGTCGAGCGCCGAGGTCGAGGTCGACGACGTCGAGCGTCGAAGTCGAGGGACGAGGTCGAAGTCGAGGGACGAGGTCGAGGTCGAGGTCGAGGTCGAGTTCGAGCGCCGATCTCGAGGTCGCGTGACGAGGTCGAAGTCGAGGTCAAGAGCCGAGAGGGGGTGTCCAGCGTCGAGATCCAGCAACCAGGACGAGGGAGCGCGGCGTCGGCGTCAGGTAAGTGAAACTTAGGGTTTTATTTTGGGCGATTGGGTTTGGGTTTCGGGTTTACGTGTTTCGGGACCCGTTTTTTTTCTTTTTCTTTCGTTCCGCTGGGTTCCGCCGTGTCTGAGCCGTGTCCAAAACCCAAGTTTGACCGTATCCGTTGCTGTTGACCCGTTGACCCGTGTCGGACACGAATTGACCGTGTCCGACACGTGTCTTGCACGTGTCGTGCACGAATCCGTGTCTGATTCGTGTCAGACACGGATTCGTGGTCTCCGGGGGAGTATCCGTGCTTCATAGCCAGTAACCACTCCTCATATAGAAGAGTGAGAGAAAAAATAGAGAGTTTATCCTTGTAAAGGGAGATTGTAACTCTAAAGTTTTTTCTCATAGTAGATTCTTCTATTCTTGCCCGTGATTTTTACCTCAAATTCATTTAGGGGTTTTTTCACGTAAATCTGTATGTTCATCTTTTTTATTACTTTCACACTACTATTGTTGCGACCCTGTTCTATTGGACCCCGGGTTTGTCCCAACTGTAATCAGGCCCAACCTAAAGTTAATAGGCCTTAATAGAGGTTAGGAATCTATTTTAACTCAAAAGTTTAAGCTTCTAAGTATTGATCTCAACTCCTATTCAAACTCATCACTCTTTCTTATCTTTTTTCAGTGCAGAAATATACTCACACATGAAAACCCCTACAGTACGGTGTAGGAATGGAGAAAAGGAAACAGATATCCGCAGACTTCATCTGTATCTGATAGGAAACAAAAACGGACATTAAATATTCGTTAGGATGGGTTATGGGTATGGATAACTTTCTCAATTTTTTATAGGCTGTGGATATGGATATGGGTATAAGTTAAGTATCTGGATGACATGAGAATCTATCAATATCAATATCAATATTGGTATCCTTATTCAATTTGGAAAATATAAATCATGGATTTTTCTTAACAAATAATGTCCATATCCATAATATATTAGTAAGTGGATTAAATACCATGTCCGATCTATATCCGGTCTGTTTGCACCCATAGTAAGATGGATTTTGTGAGTTGAAAAGCAAGAAAAAGAAAAAAAAATGCAGTATCAGGCTAATTGATAAAAATGGAAACATGTATTCACCAAATGACCTATTATGTGTGTGCGCTAGTATATTTGCTCCTATATTTGCATCTGACTGGCTGGGAAATGTCTTATGCAGTGTCAGAACAGTGTTTCAGCCAGATAATTGTTTGTACTTTATACACAAACCAAAACTAAGTGTCTGCCCGTGTCCATGTTAGGCTACTGAGAAATTAATAAAATGCAACCATCTCCGGACATATAAAAAGGGTGAAGAAACACGTTACAACTATATCCTTAAGTTCCAGAGCCTATTGTTATATTTCTTTAAGAACCGAGTCTTTCATATCTTTTATTAACAGATGAAGCTAGCATAACAATTTTTTAGCTACAACTATTTTATTCATTATGCATATTTTTATGACAAATCTCCAGACAATCTAATAAATATCAAATCAACCTTTTCTTAATTACTACAAGTTTCAAAATGCATCGATAATTACCACCAGCAAGGAGACAATCCCAAAGTAGTATGATCATATAGAAGACAATTTATACATGTATACTATGTGAACAGTGTGCTAGATCATCAGCCACAGCCAAACGAATCAAAAGCAGTTGACAATTTCTTTTAATATTTTTAAGCTCCTGCACATGCCCAAATTATTTTCAAAAAAAAAAGCCAAACAAATGATAATCTGGCCTATGAAGCATTGCTCAAACTCAGATAATAGTTTGGCGGACAAGTAACCTCAGGCAGTCAACTGCACTTTTCCAAACCAAAAATTGATAACATCAGAAAACGCATTTAGTTAGAGACAACCTCCAAACAAAATTCTTGCTACAGATAAAGAAAACACTTAATCGTCAAAACTACTTTCTACCAGATGTTAAATGTAAAAAGGAATTATCTCTAGAAACTTACATCGCTGTTATCAATAATATGATTGCAGCTAGGGCATTCACGATGTGCTTCAATGCCTAACTCTTTGATTTGATAATTTGAAAAGCGGTTAGCATTCTTTACTTTTCTTGCAATTCCCCTAGCATTGACAAGCCAAGTCCTACAGCCATTACATCATTCAAAGTTAGGTGAAGTTTTGGTTATTGCAAAGTCAGCTATGAATCAAGATGAGAAATTTGCAAAAACTTAATTAGCATCAAGAAGATAAGAAAGATTTCCATCAAAAAGAGGAAAAAAAAGAAGCTAAGGAAGCATGAGTAAGTAGAATTGAAAGAGGACAATATCTTTATGAAGCACCGCTGCCAATTATAGAGAACAATGTCAATCAAAGAAAAAAGCATTATTGCAATACAATGGTTACTTGAAACTGAATAAATAAGTAAACAACAGATGAGCTCAGAAAGGTCGTAGCACAAGTTTCACACCATTGTACCAGGGGAAAAAAAAGGATCCGAAGAGGAAATCTCCAAAAGTGTCACCGAAATCATTTAGGTAGCAAAGGTGTGGGAAAAGTTGTGTCTATAAATGCGCTGCAGGTCTACGACTATAAATATGTCGTGTTTAATTAATACATATGCATATGAGATCTACAGAGAATATTAACAATGTAAACAGGTTGTCAAAGATTTGATATTGTATTATACAATGTACAACAAAGTAACACGCAACAACATGCATAAGAAGGCCAGATGGGCGAGTCAAACATAAAACCATCAGTTAAATATCATATAGTATTATGCGATGAAGAGCAATCAATATCAGCTCAAGCAAAAAAAAGACATGAAAAGTTTGCTCGCCTAATTTTAGGCAAACTACGATTTTCTATCTTGTAATGTTGTAGAGATGGTATCAAATGTACTAAAACACCCATGTCTGTTTTCATCTCTTATACGTATGTCTCTGTCCCATTATTCCCTTAAGATCATAGGACGAGGTCCAAGTATGATCTTAAATCTCGGAATAAGCTCAATTTTAGTTCTCCTTCATTGGTCTTGGTATGGAAATACATCAAAGTATTCCCGCAGATTTCTTAGATTGAAACCTGTTAGGGGCCAAACAGTTTCATACCCTCCACGCGCTGCATTGTGTTCTATATCTGGCTACATGGTGCATTGAATTTTGGATAGAAAAGCGTTGTCGGAGTCCTAGCTGTGCCAGTAGCCGTCTCAAATATTAAGAGTCAATTAACATAAACACACAAGGTCTAGATGTCTATTGGAGTTGGGAAAGATAAGTGCTGACAAGTTGTCTTGAATCGTCCTCCGTCGGTTATGATTCCCATGGTTTGAAGAACAAGTCAAAACAAGTGATAGTTCTATCTTATGTCTCTTGTGGCTCTGAAGAGCACGGCTTAGAAGCGGTGCTAATAGCTGCCTACTTCTCTTGGGTCATCAGGAGCACCACCTTTAGGCGGTTTGAGTAGGTGCCAATTTTTCTCTTAACATAAGAAGCAATTTGTAATATCTCTTCCGTTCTTGATTTCAGTATCACTTCCGGGCTATTTGCAAAAAACAAGTAATCAACTTACACGAGTAGAGGGGAGCTTTCGATAATAATAATAATAATAATAAATCCCACAGGTAATATCTAGTCTCCAAAATGACATCCCATGAGAGGATCAAATAAAGTTACCACCCAACCCTACGCAAGTAAGAAAAACCTAAAAGAGGCCAAGGCAAAAGCATAGGCAGGGAGGCAGGCAACCATCTTTAACTATTATTAGCGCCGAGCACATTTGAAAACTAAAAATAAAAATCGACGCACAGAGAAAGAAGGGAGTTAGCGATAACTCCCCAGAAAATTGCTAAGTTGTGCATGCAGTGTGTTATCGAAATCAAAGCTGGTTGGTTTGGATTATCAACAGAGAAGTGAGCCAAAAAAAAAGGGGGGGAAGAGGAATATTGAGGTGTATGTGTTATCTCTACAGGTATTGCAAATAAGCAAATGTAGTTTCCTTAATTGTAAAACAGTAATTATGAACCCAAATCTGAATATCGAGATGTTGATGAAGATGGTCAAAAGTAACATCTTCCAGTAAACTCTGCTCTGCTAAGGTCACGCCAACTCCTCTCTGTTTCTTCATTTCCATCGGTTAAAAAAAAATCCCCCAATTAGAGAAGCCTCAGACTACAATCCGTGCAAAGTTCCAACCTTTACGGCAATCTCAAAACTCATCGGAACGAAAATGAACCATCAACGCGGAAAGAGGGGAAAACAAAATCCCTAATCAGCTAAGAAATCAAACGCCGCGATGGTCACTTACCACCGATCGACTCATCCTAATAATAATTCAAAATCAGTAAAGAGAAAAAAGGATTAATATTGGGAAGCTTCGCACCTCGCCATCCGCTGGTGGGAGATCAAACCAGCGACCTCCAAACAAGCGGCGGCCGAAGCTGCTGAAGAGAGAGGGTTTG